TCCCTACACAAAGCAAAAGTGGTACTACTCATTAAAGTTTATACATACCAACCCAATAGGGATGAAGACCCACAGTAGCATCATGTGGTGCAAGAGGCAGTCAGCAGGCGCAGTGCTTTACATGGGCATCCCCACGGAGGCAACAGTGACCTTAGCGATGCACTAGCCCCATGCCCTCAGGAAAAACCCAGTTGATATATTCTTGGCAGGGGGACAGAGTTCTGACACAGGGGGCTGGCCTGTGTCACAAGTTGTCCCGCCCAGGTTGCATAAAATGAGGCCAAAAACGCATGCACAACCAATTGGGTCTGGGGTACATGACGCCCCCCCTGGTGTTACTTCATCTGTCTTCTTCTACCTCCCTCTGTCTGCCCTTTCTGTGCAGCCGCTGTTCAGGTGCTGATCCCACCAACGGTTGCTTCTACCTTCCTCTGTGGTGTGTACAAATTCCAGGTGCCTCCCAGTGTTCTGTTTCTTCAAAAGCTTGCATTCCTCTCTTATCTGTTTTCAGCCACTGACCATTAACACTTTTGGATACAAGGATGCAACACTTGGCCTTGTTAAACCTCATATGATTGGTCTCAGCCCATCGATCCAGCCTGTCCAGGTCCCTCTCTAGAGTCTTTCTGCCCTCAAGCAGATCAACACTCCCACCCAACTTGGTATCATGTGCAAACTCACTCGATCCCCTGGTGCAGATCACTGATAAAGATATTAAACTGAACTGGCCTCAATACTGACCACAACTCTTTGGGCCCAACCAACCATCCAGTGTTTTACCCAGCAAAGCGTACAGCAGCCAGTTTCTCCAGGAGAATGCTGTGGGAAATGGTATCAAAGGCTTTACTGAAGTCCAGGTAAACATCCACAGTCTTTCTCTCATCCACTAAGCAGGTCACCTTGTCACAGAAGGGATCAGATTAGTCAAGCAGGACCTGCTTTTCCAAAATCCATGCTGACTGGACCTGATCGCCTTGTTGTCCTGTATGTGCCATGTGATGGCACTCAACATGATCTGCTCCATAACCTTCTCTGGCACCAAGGTCAGGTTGACAGGCCTGTAGTTCCCTGGATCCTCCTTCTGGTCCTAATTGTAGATGGGGGTCCTATTTGCTAGCCTCCAGTCAGCTGGAACCTCCCCGGTTAGCCAGGACTGCTGGTAAATGATGGAAAGTGGCTTGGTAAGCACTTCTACCAGCTCCCTCAGTGCCCTTGGGTGTATCCCATCTGACTCCATAGACTTGTGTGTGTCTAAGAAGTGGTGTAGCAGGCTGCTAAGCATTTCCCCTTGGATTATAGGGGCTCCATTCTGCTCCCTGCCTCTGTCTCCCAGCTCAGAGGGCTGGGTACCTTGAGAACAACTGGTCTTACTATTAAAGACTGAGGCAAAGAAGGTATTAAGTACCTCAGCCTTTTCCTCATCCTTTGTCTCTATGTTTCCCTGCACATCAAATAAAGGATGGAGATTAGTCCTCCTTTTGTTGTTAATGCATTTATAGAAACATATCTTATTTTTCTTCTCTGTCAGGATCCTACATATTAACTGCTATTCTTTCATTGCCTTCACAGGAATGGATGGCAATTAATCTTCATTATGGGCATGATTATCTCATTCTGGTTCCTTCCTTCTGGAGCCATTCAGTAGCTGGGCTCAAGTGAACTATTTACATAAAAAGTAGAATATTATTTTACTAGTACTAGTTTTCTTCATGTTAAAGGCCTGAACTAAATGCCAAAAGAAATACATTATACTAGTGAGGTGTACTGCTTTAAAAAATGCAAAAACACAACATAAAATAAATTAAATACTGCTGTATCTGATGAAGACAAAGCCTTCCTCATTTCAAGTATTTCTTAAGAAATTAGAAAACGAGGCACTGTGGTTACTTTGATGTTTAAAAATCAAACATACAACTTATCTTTCAGGATTTTACAAGATAAACCCAAATTAATATATGCCACTGTATTTTCAAATTATTCCTCTTTATCACCAAATATGTAATTGTTCAGCTGTATCTTTTACTCACATGGATCAAATAAAAGCTGATATGAATATTTCCTGCTTTTTTAAGAAACAGTAATTATTAATTACTAAAATTAAAAACTTTAAAAAACTTTGGATAAAACATACCAGATAAACCTCAAACTTTCTGACTCATACAGACTGGTAGAGCTCACAAAGCAATGGCAATCTGGAGCTAGATCTGTATAATTATTTAGCACATAACTCCAATTGATTTAATAAAGTTTTGCGAATGGTGCCATAGTTACTTAGTGGTAACATGCTGGTAGTATAGGTCAGGCGGTCTAGCTTATATAACAGTTCTGTATAGACTGTGTATGACCAATGCAAAAGTCAGTTATTTGCCGGCCAAGAAGGGAGATAAGGACGCTTAACATAGAATTAACAAGGAAATGTATTTTCATATTAGCTATGCACATAGCATTGTCCCAGCCTAAAGGGGCTCCATACACTCGGGACTCCTCCAGCGATATCCCGGTATCGCAGGGAAGCAGCCCGCAGGAAGGAGCTCACCAGCAGCTCCAAGCTCCCTGCTCTGCGTCCTCACAGGGCGCAACCACACGCTTGCCGCTGCAGCGCCCCACAACGGCCACGGCGTGCCGCAATGACCGCGCTGCCGCAGCTTCCAAAGCGCCTGTTCCGGGTCTCCCGCCCGAAACACATTTTGGTGATGGCAGTACCCCGTCCCAGTGGCGACTTCCCTCCGTTCCTCCCGTTGCTATGTGCAATCCTTAGCTACTCCCTGCCTCTATAGACAGAGTCGCGGCAGAAGAAGGCTTTTCCTTACGATAGGGCACGAATCCACACAGGCAATGAAATCTCGGCGCCTTCCGGGCGTTTTCTGTTGCTCCGTGACGTCAGCACCTGGTTCGGTGGTTGGTTACGCCCAGGCGCGAAATGTAACGCGGGAAAATCTCGGGTTGTGCAACAGTAGCTCTTCCTCAGGAGTCACCAGGACTGGGACTACAAGTGGGGATCAGCGCCGCTTCAGAAAGGTGTGGGGAGACTTTAGCCGTCGCAGATTTTGCGACG